TTTTATGTTTATATTCAGAGTAATCGCTCTTCGTTATTGGTGCCCATCGTTGTGAATGAAACTCCTACAGCACTCACTGAGTCTACCGATATCCATCATGAAGAGATCAGCAGAGCGCTGGATGAAGATGGCCCTGGTTCACTCTGCTACATGAGGTAAACACATCAGCCAGTGACATTAGAAATATGCATCAGACATAGTTATCATTCCACATGTGTGATCCATTAATCACTTTCTATTTCATGTGAAACGGTCTCATCGAGAAAGAATGTGTGACCCCTTAGGGCTAAAACAGTAAAATTATCTATTGTAACTATTAAAGCCACATCTTGGTTGAAGTTGTTTTCATTGGCTGTTTTTGGCTTTCTGTTTACGTGATCTTTCATCCTTCTTGTCAGTGACAGTCAGTTCTCATGTGGCACTACTTCTAATTTAATGGAGGAGATCTTCAGCGGGACGGAGTGGGCTCAGTTTCTCTCAGTTAACAGCACCCAAATGCACCAATCGAAAGAGTTACCAAATACTAATAACCAATCACGTGAAGAAGATTTGCAAAGTAAATGGACTCATGACGACACAACCGATTCGACTCAGCTTTCGCTTCCAGAGAGCTTTGCACAAGACATGGCCTCCGATCAACAAACTGAGACGTCTCAAATGAGTGTTACTGATCTCCCCACAAATCCATTACAAACTGACCCGTTTACAAACCAGTCACAAAACACCAATCTGAACCCCAACGAGCAATCAAATGGACAGTCACATTTTTCCCAGCTTGGTCCAAATGAATCAAAGGCAACTGAGCATAGCGATCCACAGCCAACGTCTAGTCAAGTGTCTGACCCCAGCCATAACCTGCCACAAGATGGGACAGAGGATTTTATACCCCTCCTTGACCTTTCATATGCTAAGGTGAGAGTATACGCATTATAAGCAGAAGCAATGTGTTATTAGTATTTAAAATGCTCTTTCTTATTTCCTTTCCTCCTTTTCTCTTAGTCAATAAAAAGATCATCTGTAACATCCCATGGATCGCTGAGCCGAAAAAGAGAGCACTGGACAAAAAGCCGGGAATCGTTTGAACACACAACACAAGAGATGGAGGACGAGGAGAACGGCGGCTCTTTCACAGCTGCACAGCACCCTGTCCGCATCCCTTCACCCGCGTCTCCCCTCAACTCACTGAACTCAATCTCTCAAGACTCAGAGTCCTCTGAAACTTTGGAAACTGCGGTCAAAAAGGTAGGATATGTCAGAAACTAATATGCATTCAGATAAGCCAGTTTTGACTGATATCAGCTGGCTTTTATAAATATTAAGATCATGATTTAGAACTTATTGGTTAAATTGTTGGGTTTGAACATAAAGGGAGTTTGTTACTACAGACTACAGAGACGCGTGTAATAGTTGGGGTATTAGTGCCATTGTTGATTAATTAATTGTTGGGTGGTGCTGAATTTTCAGCTTGTTTTTGAACAAGACTACTACGATGTGCGTCACTACAAAAATTCATTTTCGGAGAAACTAGAAACTAACACTGATATGAGGACAATCCTTATAAATTTCAGTAAGCTTATACACTACAGTTCAAAGGTTTGGGGTCAGTAAGAATTTGTTTTGAAAGAAATTAATACTTTTATTCTGCAAGGATGCATTAAATTGATCAAAAGTGACACAGTAAAGATATTTACAATATTACAAAAACATTCTTTCAAATAAATGCTGTTCTGTTGAACTTTATATTATACATTTCCAATCCTGAAACTGTATTATGGTTTCCACAAAATTATTAACTGCTGTTTTCAACATTGATGATAATAAGAAATGTTACTTGAGCAGGAAATCAGCATATTAGAATGATTTCTGAAGGATCATGTGACACTGAAGACAATGATGCTGACAATTCAGCTTTACATCACAGGAATAAATTACATTTTGAAATGTAATAAAATAGAAAACAGTTATTTTAGTATAGCTTTACGATAACGATAGCTTTTAGTTGTGTTAGCCTGCTAAAGCTGGCCATTTCACAAGGCAGTTATTTTCAGTTGATGAATCTATTGTAAGCACATTCTATAATTTGTGAATCAATTGCAATCACATTAGTGTCCACATTTACAATACATCCTGTCATTATTTCTCTTCTTCTCCCAGAGGAGGATGGAAGACACTCGCCGCGTTCGGTTCTCTGAGGAGGTTATCATCTTACCGCCCACCTACTTGCCAGAGTCTGATGATGATGATGATGATGATGAAGAAGAAGAAAATGATGATAATGATTGGCAGGAAGAACCTTCTCCCCGTCATTCTTTCCCTAAGTGGATTGTGTCTTTAAAACCCAAAAGCAGAAAGTACAAATTTTAATCTGACTCCACCTTTGAAATTTTGCAGCTTGCATAAACTGAGACTGTATTTCCTGAGGCAAGAGCGACGCAGCACAAATAATCGACAATTATCATTACTACATTCTGAAAAAAAATTATTTTAATGAGACTGTGATATGACAGCATCGATTTGATATGCCATTACATTAAGAAAATTTATTTTTAAATAAAATAAAGTAAAATGTAATAAGAATAACAAAAGGTAACAAAACGTACAATCTCAAGGTCATAGTTCAATAAATAAAGTCAACAGTATGAAAATCAGTTAGACAAATAATTCACATTAAACACACAAAATATCCATGTATACTTTTAGCTTCTGAAAGGAATAGTGTATATACTCACATCATCATTTTCTTTCTTCGTTCATTTTACATGCTCAACAATGATCTATTACGTAATTAATTAATTCCTGTTCTCCTGTCCGCATCCCTTCACCCGCGTCTCCCCTCAACTCACTGAACTCAATCTCTCAAGACTCAGAGTCCTCTGAAACTTTGGAAACTGCGGTCAAAAAGGTAGGATATGTCAGAAACTAATATGCATTCAGATAAGCCAGTTTTGACTGATATCAGCTGGCTTTTATAAATATTAAGATCATGATTTAGAACTTATTGGTTAAATTGTTGGGTTTGAACATAAAGGGAGTTTGTTACTACAGACTACAGAGACGCGTGTAATAGTTGGGGTATTAGTGCCATTGTTGATTAATTAATTGTTGGGTGGTGCTGAATTTTCAGCTTGTTTTTGAACAAGACTACTACGATGTGCGTCACTACAAAAATTCATTTTCGGAGAAACTAGAAACTAACACTGATATGAGGACAATCCTTATAAATTTCAGTAAGCTTATACACTACAGTTCAAAGGTTTGGGGTCAGTAAGAATTTGTTTTGAAAGAAATTAATACTTTTATTCTGCAAGGATGCATTAAATTGATCAAAAGTGACACAGTAAAGATATTTACAATATTACAAAAACATTCTTTCAAATAAATGCTGTTCTGTTGAACTTTATATTATACATTTCCAATCCTGAAACTGTATTATGGTTTCCACAAAATTATTAACTGCTGTTTTCAACATTGATGATAATAAGAAATGTTTCTTGAGCAGGAAATCAGCATATTAGAATGATTTCTGAAGGATCATGTGACACTGAAGACAATGATGCTGACAATTCAGCTTTACATCACAGGAATAAATTACATTTTGAAATGTAATAAAATAGAAAACAGTTATTTTAAATTGTAATAATATTTCACTATATTTTACTATATTTTTTATCAAATAAATGCAGCCATTTATTTGTTATTTTGGAGCTTGACACCCCTGAAAAGAATGGCTGAGAGAATATATTCTTGAGAAATTCACCTTTGGTTTTCACAATAAAAGTCATACAGGTTGGCATGAGGGTGAGAAAATGATGACAGAATCTTGATTTATGGTTAAACGATAGCTTTTAGTTGTGTTAGCCTGCTAAAGCTGGCCATTTCACAAGGCAGTTATTTTCAGTTGATGAATCTATTGTAAGCACATTCTATAATTTGTGAATCAATTGCAATCACATTAGTGTCCACATTTACAATACATCCTGTCATTATTTCTCTTCTTCTCCCAGAGGAGGATGGAAGACACTCGCCGCGTTCGGTTCTCTGAGGAGGTTATCATCTTACCGCCCACCTACTTGCCAGAGTCTGATGATGATGATGATGATGATGAAGAAGAAGAAAATGATGATAATGATTGGCAGGAAGAACCTTCTCCCCGTCATTCTTTCCCTAAGTGGATTGTGTCTTTAAAACCCAAAAGCAGAAAGTACAAATTTTAATCTGACTCCACCTTTGAAATTTTGCAGCTTGCATAAACTGAGACTGTATTTCCTGAGGCAAGAGCGACGCAGCACAAATAATCGACAATTATCATTACTACATTCTGAAAAAAAATTATTTTAATGAGACTGTGATATGACAGCATCGATTTGATATGCCATTACATTAAGAAAATTTATTTTTAAATAAAATAAAGTAAAATGTAATAAGAATAACAAAAGGTAACAAAACGTACAATCTCAAGGTCATAGTTCAATAAATAAAGTCAACAGTATGAAAATCAGTTAGACAAATAATTCACATTAAACACACAAAATATCCATGTATACTTTTAGCTTCTGAAAGGAATAGTGTATATACTCACATCATCATTTTCTTTCTTCGTTCATTTTACATGCTCAACAATGATCTATTACGTAATTAATTAATTCCTGTTCTTTGTAAATTTAATGCACTGCTGCTTAATTACTCTTTATATATAATCGCCATCAGTCAAAGGTTTGACTTAAACTCTTACTTTTTATCTAAGGAAGCTTCAATTAAAATTTTGCATAGAAATATACAGTAAAATGTCATCAATTTCTTGAGAAAATTAGATATATAGACCAGATGTAAAGCAGTGCCCAGCATATATGGAAACTCCTTTAATACTTTTGAAGCTCAAATATGAGATAAGAAATATGATATTTAATATTACTACGTAACTATCGTACTTACATTTGTGTTATTTCAAAGTTGTGTTAATTCTAAAATAATAATAATGATCAAGTGTGTACAGACTTTTGACTAGTAGTGTATAAGTGTAGATGTGTGTTTTCTCAGGGTTTGTGGTTGACTGAAGAAAGCCTTTATTTAAATTTGTTTTATCAAACCAAGCCCTAAAGGTTCACAGACTTAAAACAAACGATGATTTGAATACTGTTACTTGTCTGTTACTGTATACTGTTGCATAAAATCACAAATCCTTATTATTTGAAAGTCTCATTGGTTTGGCGGGGTGTGTGACTCCTGTCGTCCGATAGAAAAGGTCCCTGAGTCGTTTGAGCTCTTCTCCAATGCTTTGATTGACATCTGGCTTCCCTCATAGAGTCTGTTGTTTGCTGACTCGGACACAACACCTGATACCTGTTCATGAAGAGGACAGAAAGATAAGACATCGCTCTATTTTATCTCTACATACTTACATGACTAAACTCAACTCTGGCACCTCTTCAAATTTCTTTGCTTTGTACTCATCCGCCCCTTTATGAAAGTTGAGAAGGATGATGTCACAGAACACAGTAGCCTGCAAAAATATACACCAGTCAGATTTTATGTGCCTAATATGTTTTTGCCTGCATTAATGTGTGTCACAATTGTCTTACCAATCCCACTGAAGTTAAAGCTGTCACCAAATTAATCAGAAACGGCACAGTGTTAAACTTCCCTGCCTGCAAATAAGCAAAGTTAGACACGCACAAGTCCATGTCACATAAACTGCTTTATAGCATTGAGGTCTATACAATCTACCCACATTGCCAGACACGATTATTTCGAAGTGGATTGCTTTAGCTTTATGAAGCGTTCGACACTCAGTTCCATCTTCAGACTGATAGTATTTAGCAAACCTGGAAGAGACAAAAAGATGATGCAGTTGTAGAAAAGACAGAATGATGCATGAGTATGTGTGTTTGTGTGCTACCTGAAGTTATATCCTTTAGAGGCAACGCTGTTCTTAAAAGCAGCATCCAAGCGTGTGAAGAAGTAATTGGGATTGCAGTATGTTACATTATAGTCCAGATTACACTTCCAGTTGATGTTAATACCAATCTCTCCTCCCTGACACAAAAACACACATCAAACAACACAAAAACATTGTTTACTTCATATGTAGGCCTACATTCTCTTCATATAAGTCTATATGTGACCCTGAAAACACAGCTAAAGTCATTTTTTGGTGATTTACTGCTTTCTACATAAAATCATCCTTCATAAGGTAAATGGCCTTCTGTAAAAATGTAACATTGATATCTTTTAAATTGACTGAGTAGACCATGACAAAGATTGAAATCATAGTGAAATTAATGGTTGAAATCAAACTTTGATGCTTGTTATCTCATAATAAGATTTTGAAACTGGATTTCACAGAGAGGGTCACGTATCATTTTCACATTTGAAAACACACCTGGGCATTTAAATGGAGGTTTTTATCAGATTTAACTCACTTTTGGTTTGTATTTCTTTGTTAGTATTACGGCACAATGCAAATGCTGTGGGCTGAACTTTATTTTTTAATGGGGTCATATGATGCAATTTCAAAATTTCCTTTCTCATTGGAGTGTTACAAGCTGTTCGTGCATAGATAAAGTCCCTAAAGTTGCAAAGACTAAAGTCTAAAATCCAAAAAGATATTCTTTATAAATGTTAAGAGTCAACTACGCCTACCTAAAACGGCTCGTTCTAACACGCCCCCACATGTCTACGTCACTATGTGGGAAGATTTGCATAACGCCGCCCAAATGTTCACGCAGAGGAAAAAGGTACTAACTTTTATTCTCGCTGTAGTATTCTTGCCGCCGTCGCCATGTTGTGGAGACGCTGTGTGTTTTGTTGTGAAAGCGAAACTACTTTGTTTGGCCTTCCAAAAGAGGACGATATCCACTTCGTCATGCCTAGAGCTGATCCGTGCTGGTCGCTGAGGAAATACATCAACTTTGCGCTGTGGATCACCGGATCGGCTTTCACCGTGGACGAAGCGGAGTCCAGCCCGGGGTCGTCACATGTGGTTGCCGCAAGCCCTCCGGACGCTCCTTCATCGAATCCGTTGGCCGCGCCATTCTCAAGCCCACCGGCCTCCTCTTACTCCAGCCTGCCGCCGCTCACTCAAGGCCACCGTGTGTCACGCTGTGTGATTCATTGTGAAAGCGAAACGACTTTGTTTGGCTTTCCAAAAGAGGACACGACTAGAAATCAGTGGTTAAGTTGTATTTACAACACTGTTCCAGAACAGTTCAACCCAAATATTCAGATGTGTGCAACGCATTTTATGGAGGACTGTTTCCTGATCCTGAGAGCAGACTACAATGCTGGCTGTTCTGACTCACAGACTATAAGTACGTTTTCATTTAAAGGATTTGCCACTGATGATTCAAACGTGAGTTTTGAGCAGTGTAGAGTAGCGCTTGTTGTTTGTCATTTCTCCGATCACAAATGCAGACATGGTTTTATGTTTACGCGGCGCGATGCAACGCAACGCGTAAAAAGACAGTATAAGTCATTATAATCCATAATTATGTCCCCACTGAATGCAACAAATGCCTCGTTTATAATGTTTTTTTAAAATGTTTTTGCCCTGACAGGGCATCACAGTATGGTAGGGGCGTAACATTTCCGTCACACGCTTGAGGTATTCGGCCAATCACAACGCACTGGATAGCTGGCCAATCAGAGCACACCTTGCTTTTCAGACCGATGAGCTTTGTAAAAATCGATGCGTTTCAGAAAGGCGGGGCATAGAGGAGAAACAATAATGTACAGTATGTGGAAAATAATGTGTTTTTT